CCTCCTCCTCCTCCTCCTCCTCCTCCTCCTCTTCGACTCGGTATAGACCTCGCTAATGCCCGTCATCCCCCTTTTATCCTTCCTCTCTCCGGCCAGGAAACTCTTTTCTCCACCCTCGCTCGACTACTTCCGCGCGCCGAGCGAGCTGGCGGACGGGCGCTCGTAAACGGACGCGGAAGAGCGCGCATAATTTTCTACTAAAGCGCGAAGAGGTCGTCGAGTGTTTCCAAGAGACGTTTTAAGGATCTCCCCCGCGTGCTCGCGTCTCCTCTCGCCTTCCCTGTTAGCTGGGCGAGCTCCGTGCTGAGAGCATACCGAGGATACAACAGCTCGCCCCGTCCGTTACTCGTGAGATTATCGGATAAAAATACGACTCGTTATCGAGTGCTCGAATTGTCGAGAGGAGAGATCCGCTTCTCGTATCAAAGTCCGACGCTTCCACTTTCGCCGAGATGGAGGAAGAGGGGAGAGACGAAGGAGGAAAGGGAAGACCGATGAAAATTTAGCAAATCGCGCGGGCATCAACGTCACCATCATCGACGCTGACACGAGCAACATTCGCTCCTAATCGACCATAAAAGTCGTAGCTCGTTGCGGAAGCGAGGGAGCGAGCAAAAAGGAATCGAGCGCGACGTCACGCAGCCGGTGGCAGATATTGCGGCGGATATGTCCGAAGATAGAGTCGTTTTAGGACGGAACGCGAAAAACGAAGGAGAGAGCAAAACGACAACGGGGCGCCGTCGCCACGCCGTTGCTGCTGCTGGTGTGGTGCTGGTAGAAACAATTCGCTCCGGGCAATGTTCCGGAAAGAAGAGGGGAAGAAGTTTCAGTTGTCACACGACAGAAAATAGTGGGCCGTTACCACGTCTCTCGCTACGCCGGAGACTCTCGTTTCAAAAGAGTGTCTACGATCGTTGACAATGTGGACCGTAGATCTCTTCCTTTTGGCCGCGCGCTTTTTCGCACTCGCACTTACTTACTCGAAGTCGGATACATATACCCATACATTCCTCCACGCACATACACCTGTATACACCGCCGCGGTCGTCGATGGGAAAAGAAAGCGGGACGATAAAGTGTCTAGAGTACAGTTAGACATGGAACAGATCCGCGCTCGCGATACATTACGTTGTAACGGAGACTTTGCATCGAGCAAATACGAATCGAGCGATTCCGCGGAACGGTATTGTACGGGAGATAACCGACAGCAGAGAATCCCGTCGAGGCGATTGCGCCAAGATCGACAGATATTTCATTACGGGCCCGGTTCAGCCGACAGTGGTTGGAAAACGCAAAACAACGCGGAGGAGGAAGAGCAGGGCAACTGGCCGGAGGCTATACATCCAGCTTGAGTAACATAGTTAGGTGCGCGAGTCGATGGGAGAATAGAGGGTCAGAGTGGTGGCCATCGGGGAATAGAGACAGCGGCTAAGGACGGCAGAGGACGGGTAGAAGAAGAGGTAGGCGGAGGGGGAGAAGGGTAGAGTAGTGGAAGTACACTCGTGTCGAGAGGAGATTCTGAGTGCTCTCTGGAGAGGCGGTCGTGGATAGAACGAGACACGCTGGGGCGAGACATTGGAGAGCTGGGAAGCGCGAGAATAAGGGTGAGAGAAGAGAAACGAGGCGAGAGGAGTCTGGAGGACGCGTCTTCGTCAGCGCTACATGCTGGTATTCCCCGCAGCCTCCTCGTCTCGAGCGCGAGCAGTCTTGCACTCTCGCACGAAACGTGTCGACGAGAGAGACAGCAAGAGGCAGCAGGGGAAGAAGGAAGAGGGAGTGGACGAAAGAAAGGGAGGCGCGAGCGAGATAGAGAGAAACAGAGAGAGAGAGAGAGAGAGAGAGAGAGAGAGAGAGAGAAAAGGTGAGCCAAGACCCAAGAGGATTCCCGAGGTCAAGATCGAGAGAGTTTCAGGAGAGCTTCTTCTCCTCTCGGACTCGAGCACGGTCGTTTGCGTCACCGACGTGTTCGTTCCAGGCCGCTTTTAAAATAGCACGAAAAGTTGCCGCTTAATTTCAGTAACTTTCGAGAGCACCCGCTCTCTCGCTCTCGCCCCTCGTCTCGAACTCTCCAGACACTCTCGCGAGTGTTTTCATCTATTACACCGGACGGACGGATGGACCGACGGACGGACCCTGCCGCCACTCGGCGGGGATTAATCGTGTTTACGCTGCGTGTCGCCCGACGTATCGCTGAATCATCGATGAGATTACGAGAGTCACCGAGAGCTACGAGCGGCAAAACAACGTCTCCTGTCTCAGGAGGATCGGTTACACCGCCGAGGTGTAGCGATTCTCACCGGGACGAACGAGAGATAAGCGGCCAGGCAGGTGAAGAGGAAAAGAGAGGTAGCCGAGTTACGCGAAGGCGTACGAGGCGCTCAAGATTAGACCACGTTTGTTCCGCGAACAAACCGACGATAGATCGTTTGGTGCGTGAAATATCTGCGCGACCGCGCGTGAGAAAGAGAGAGACAGAGAAAGAAAGGGCCTTTGGATAGTCGAGACGATAGGATCAACCGCCTTATTCTTCGAATCGAATCTCGCTTTATTAGCGCGTCTCAAAGAACTAGCGTTCTCGCTATTTGGTTTCGCAATGAGAGAACCTAGCAAAACTATCAAGAAATACCACTGACAAGCCAAAGTCTCTCGCTGTAGCAGCGCCGTTTTATCCAATCGAACTCGTAATTTAACTTTATTACTCGATTTTTCGAGATTCCTCGAGACGCGTGAGAAACGCACTCTCGCGCTCTTTCTCGTGGTCAGTCCGTAAAAGCAAGTGCGACTTACCTCCATTGGACTTGAGATCGTCGGGCTGGCCGCGATGCAGGTCCGGTTTCGTCAGCATCGAAAGGGGGTGTGCGGCGGTACCCCCGGGTGTAGCGGCAGCTCCCGGTGGCAGACCTAAGCCGAGTAAAGCCGCAGACGCCGAGGTGGGGACCGGTATACCCGCGCCAGGGCCCAGTCCGGGAAGTCCGGGTATGCCCGGATGCGGTCCCATCGCCGCGCCCGGCGGCAATTGTTGGGCGTGCATCTGTTGTATGAGTCTCGGCAGGTCAGGCCTTTGTTGCTGCAACGAGAAAAAAAAGAGGACCGCACGGTCAATAATATTGTTTGCGCAACGATAGCGACCTCTGATCGCTATCGACAATCGGTTATCGCCGGAGCTTCTATCATCGTCGTTCCTGCTCGCCGGAGCGTCGCGGTTCCGTGCGAATCGCACGTTCGCACGTCGCGACGCGTAGAACAACGCGCGCCATCCTCGCCCGCTCTATCCCGATAAGTTCGAAGATTAGATTAAGTAAGTGGCGAGGCAATTAACGGGCTCGAGTGCGCGTAACGGTGCCTCGAGTATTTCCGCTGTAATTACCAGATAAAACGAGCCTGGGTATTATTCCGCGAGACGTGAAAAAAAAACGCGATGTGCGGGAATCGAGGCGATCATCGCTAAGAGCGCGGCAGATTGGAATCGAAACGGTGGGACGGGGAAAACTTTAATAGCGCGTCGATATTATCGCGGCCGCTGCATCGCCGCGAGAGGGGGGGAGACAGGGACAGAGAGCAAAATGAAGTGGAATAGAGAGCGAGAAAGAGAGAGAGAGAAGAGTCCGATAGAAGTTCGGAAATGATTTTTACGGGCTATCGGTTTAGCACGGCGGTGTGTACGCTGCCGCAGCTTCGTTAGGAGAGTCTGTTTGCCGAACGTGAACTCACGTTTCCAGCGCGGACAAATGCATAAGCAAATAAAATCGCGCGCGGCGGGCGCGGATTTAAAAGCACGGCACGGTGTGTCCCTCCTCCTCCCTCCACCAACTCTCGCCCGCTCCACCAGCTCTTCCTCCTCCTCGCTTCCCTCTACACCCCCGTCATAATTGATCAAACAATTTCGTTCCCACGAGGAGACAGGGAAACAGCAAGGGAAGGAGAAAAAAGCAACGCAACGATAATTCGCTGGAAAAATCGCTCCGCTTAATTCCGGTCACGATCGCGTTCTCCACCCCCCTCGACGAGAGAATTTCTCCCTTCTCTCTTCCCCGACCGCCCTTCTCTCTCTCGTCGTCAGCAGTCGCCGCCGCCGCCGCCGTTACGCGAAAATACACTTCGTTACAGTCAACGGAGAGGCAACTTTCCATTAGCAAAGCATACAAATTGCCGAGTAAACTCCGGCAAGTTTGAGTAACCTCCGCGTTCGACCTCGCCCGAGTAAATCTAAGGCTGCGAAACAAGTGGAAAGACTTACGCTCACCCGTCGAGCGAACGAGCGAGCGAGGAAGCGAAGGAGTGAGCGAATGAACGAACGAACGAGCGAACGAGCGGGCGAACGCCGGCGAAAAGTTTCGCGGAAATCTTAAGCGTATCTCGCCCGTAGTTTCCTCGTTAGTTGGGCCAGGCCGCCAGACAAATTGTGGACCTGTTCAGCGCCGTTTTAACGGTTCGTGGATCACGGTAGTGGTGGTAGTGGTGGTGATAGTGGTGGTAGTGGTGGTAGCGAGGGCGAGACCGGAGAGTGCGAGGAGTACGAGACTGCAGAAGAGGGTGGCAAGGACCAGGAGAAGGAGGGGACAGGAAGAGTACGCAGACGGCGAGTGGAAGAGGAGAGTGTACACCCACACCCTCGCGCTCTGTAACCATGTACACTCGTTAAGGCAGGCCGGAGCGAATATTCCGGGGAGTAGTTTGCCGAGATAATTAAATGGCTTAACGATATAATAACCTCGCGTCGAGCGTTGACTGTCTGAACAGAGCCACCCACAAAACATACAAACAGAGGAACGTGTATAAGCGTGCCGGTGCTGCGGCGCGGCGCGTCTGTGTGGAGAAACGGAGATTGAGCCGAGGTGGAAGGGAAACGGAAAGGTATGAGGAGAGAGAGAAGGTGAGAGAGGCAAGAGAGAGAAAGATAGAGAGAAAGGGACGGGAGAAGGACGAGAGGAGGCCCTACGGTCCGCGGAGCCGTCTGCGAAAGCGTTGGCGGAGATTCGAGGAAGTCGGAAGCCCCTAGGAAACGTTTCGAGTTTCCACTCTTGATAGCGATAATAATCCTACCCGGATCCAACTTCCAACACGAAGCGTTACCTACCTACCTACCTACCTACCTACCTACAGCACTACCACTACCCTCTCACCAAGGAGGAAACCACCCTCGTCTTCGCGCCGAGATTTCTCGTAATAACGTAGGCAGCGACGCGAGCAACGAGTGGGGGTAGTTGGCTGACGTTTCAAGCGTATTGTAAGACGCAAAGTTCTCGTCGAAGTGATGCGAATCGACTTGTTTCTTTTTCTTCACGAGTCCTCGTTGACTAGCGCGAGAGGATCACGAACGAGAAAAAATACACGGTCAAAGTTTCCAACGTGCTCCGCGGAAAGTTACGACCTCCCGTTAAAGTGAAATACGCTCGGCTCGAAATACCCTTCGACCACGGCTTCCGAGAATGGACTTGGAAATTCGAAATCATTTCCGATAATCGAGTAAATCGGCTGTTTCTCCTAGACTCTGGCGACGGAAATGTCGCCGGATATTCTGCATTTAAAGCATGCCTCGCAATCTCATCCCTTATTATCCTCCGTTCCTCTCTTTCTTTCGCCCGAAAACACCGAGCAAACGTGTCTCAATCTTTGTGCGAACTTAGCCACGGCACACTTGCGTCACTCATCGGGTTGTCTCTCCCTTATCCTCAGCAATTTTCGTCCTCGTTGTCATCGACCACTTGCTGACTCGGCCGCGCGAGACAGATCCAAAGGGATCGTCTTAACCTTCTTATATTGCATATCGTTGACACCCGATAAGTGTCTTCATGCGGAGGAGAAGCGCGATCGTCAGCGATGCAGGTGCGTTTGCGCGAGCGTGTCCAACACGAATGTTCGTAACGCCAGTATCGTTCGCAGTATGCGTCGATGGATTACGATTGATATTCGTCGTTCGTACGTCGTCCATAGCGACATTTATAGCGGCGATCTCGAATAACAGCTATAAAAGGGAAGAGGAGAGGAGCTCAGGATAGGTAGATATACATTATATATGTATATATATATATATATATATATATATATATATAGAGAGAGAGAGAGAGAGAGAGAGAGAGAGAGAGAGAGAGAGACTACGATATCTCCGTGATATCTACATCGCAATGCGAAATAATCCGCGAAATGATTATGTTTCCTTGGCTTATCTGTTCGCTGCGAAATCGAGCGAGCGAGCAAGCGAACGAAAGGCGAGCGTCGAGCGCGTCGCGGAGCATCTCGCGGCTTGTTCGATTCGATCCTCCTCCTCCTCTTCCTCGCATAGCTGGTGGGATTTAAGAGAAGAGAGTAGACTAAGGCGGGCGGTATCCCGGAATCCTGCTAAGGATTTGCCGCACGTACCCCGACAACGTCGCAGATCCGTGGAAGTTTCTCCATGAAGCGGGGGCGGAAGGGACGGCGGGAGATCGGGGGCGGAGGGGCGGCTGGAATGCTGATTAGTCGGCGTTCGTGCACCGTAACACTATAACCTACCACCGACTCGGGAAACCGGGCGGGAAGACTCCGGATAAGATTCTAGCGGAGCGAGAAGGCGAGAGAGAGTGGGAGTGGGGGAGAGAGAGAGAGAGAGAGAAACCGAGGAGAGGCTATAGGTGGCGAGAGGATACGGCGGGATAAGGACGAGAAGGAGGAAGAGCAGGCTAGGGGAACGGAGAGGCGGGCGAACGAAGCGGAGGGGAGAGAAGCCGGTGGCTTAATAGGGAGGAAATTGAGTGCTCGAGCAATATTGAGGAGGATTCGGGATTCGCCAGGATCGTATCCGTCCGTCCGCTTTTGGATTCCTCGGACGTGCATCGGCTTCCACGTAGCGTGCCCCGCAGGGGTTCTCCACTCGCCGCGAATGCTTTTCGCGCTGTCACGCACACCGAATCGGCCGCATCCACGGGCGCGGGTATGTCGCGAGGGAGAGCGCGGATGCCGCGCGACCGGCCTCGACAATGCGGACCGGCTGCAGCCGGCCGCTCGGTTCGCCGCGGTCGGTCGATCGGTCGACCGGTCGACCGGACGATCCGCCTTTGTAACGAGCGATACCATTGGCGTGCACTCACCCCGATAATAGCGTTCAGCTCGGTCATGGTCACTTGTTTGGCCCTGTCGACCGCAGTGGCGACCTGCTGCTGATGCTCCTGCGAGAGAAACGGCAGGATCTGAGCGATGATGGCATTCAACCTCTTCGCTATCTCCGTCTGCAAGAAAAAGACGAATCGTGGTTAAAAGGACTCGTTCGCTCGCGAATTTGTATCGGTCGCGCTCTCGAGCGCGAGATTATTGTGAAGATAATTCGCAGAAAGACGATGCGGGAAAGATGCGAGGAATGAAAGATTTTATTAGGTTCTCAGCGCGAATTCTTTCCGCCCCTCGACGACGGTACAATGGGTTAGGGGAAGGGAAGGGGGGAAGACAGAGAGGAGGGTTGTTCGATCTCGACACTGCGCGCCGGCATACACGGTCCGCGCGCGTCCGGACCCTCGGGCGGCTTGTTCCGGATCGTTAAGAAAGGTAAGGGCTAGCTTAACGCGCCCTCGCGAAGGAAACGAGTGAAGATGCAGGTGCGGCATAACCGACCGAGGGTGTTTACGACGCCCTCCGGCTGGAAGAGACTGCCAGGGAATTAAATTAAATCCAAGCAAGATTGCCACAGTGGCGTAGGTATTGCTCTCGACGCTCGTGCAATCTCGCTTCGGCGAGACGATTCATTCCGACACATTCGCCGATACTTTGGGCGGGAGGGTTCTACGCTGGGGCTTTTTTTCCTCCTTTTTCTCCCTTCCTTCTTTCCACCCTTTTTCTGCGGGAATTTAACAGGGCGGATTTTTCTCGAACGCGCGTTACTCCTCGTAATTCCGCTATCGGGCGCACAATTCATTTCGACAGACGAGAGTCTGTGCACGGTATATGTATACTGTACCGCGTTGCTCTCTCTCTCTCCCTCTTTCTCTTTCACGCTGGCACGTATCCCCGATATTTCTCCGATCTGCGGACTCTTCTCTTCTTCCTCCTCCGAGAATACACATCGAAAACAGGAGGTGGGGAAGCGCTCGAAATAACCGGGCGCGCGCGCACGCACGGATCTACGCGGCGCTCAGACGTGCGCGGCCACAGGTAACACCCGACATAATAATAATTCACACGGCGCAACATCACACGGCGGAACTCCATTTAATTATCGCGGAATCAACAGGCGGCGCACAGAGTGCGCGCGCGGAACATTTTCGACGCTTTCGTCGAGAAAATGAAATCACTTAATTACCTCGACAAAGCGGTCGAGAGGTTTCCTCCTCCTCTTCTTCCACCCCACCCCTCCCCCCGCGCCGCCGCCGTCGAGCTGCTGTTGCTGTTGCTCGTTTGCCCGCCGGTAGTACAATTCGCACGCTCCAGAGACGCGGAAGCGGAAGCCACCGATTTCGTCGTGGAACAGGAAGCAAACCGCCGGTTTACGTGTACCCTGTTCCCTCCCTTTCCTCCCTCCCTCCCTGCCTTGCTCTTATACTTCTCCTTCCTCCTTACGACTCGTAAACGCCCCGAAAGTATAAAAGCGAGGCGAGCAGCCAGCTCGCCGCGGCTGATATAAACGGCGAGCTTCCGTCAACGGCGCCGCCCGTTTTCTCGCCGCCGCTTAAACGAGCCTCGAGATGCTAATTGAAATATCGCCAGGCCACTGAAATTCTTGGCAAGTTTCCCTCTCTCGCAAGCGAGCGAGCAGCGAGAGGGAGAAAAACAGAGATAGAAAGAGTGAGAAAGGGAGAGAAAGAGAGAGAAGGAAAACGCGCGCGAGGAGGACCTGTTTTAATTACTCGTCGCCCTCCGAGTGCTTGTTATTAAGCCGCTAATTATAACGTACGCGAAAATGAGTCGAGCGAACATCGTGTATAACAGCGAGAAGGCTTACGCGGACACACCGCAACGGCGGCGGGTTATAACTCCTTGCGGAGCATCGGAATCTTCAACAGCGTGTATCCCGTGGTGTCTGAAAATGCAAATATAAGAACGAATCAGGAGATTCCGCGGCAAGTTTAATCTCGCGGCTCGAATCGCGCGCGCGAAAAAGAGATTGGTCCTCGTTCTTGCACGCACGCGTAGCTCGTGTAGAGCGGATTCACAACGTGCGGGTGCGAATATCTAGTAGGATAGAGTTTAACGAGCCCGCTCTGATTTCGAACGTATCCGCGTACACACGTGCACCGCTCAACGCGCGTTTAATGATCGGACGATACGGTGATAGCGGACGATTATCGCGGACGGGGGGCTTCGTCGTCGTCGCGGCGCCCTGTTGTCACCGTCGCTCACGGAGACGACTTCGCGTACAACTTGCGAGAATGTGACGATGTAACACGCGCGCGCGGATAAAGTTCCATCTACTTGACGTACTGTACGGCAGCTTGCGACGAGCCAGAAGATCCCAAGCGAACGAGCGGTACGACGGGGACATTGTGGGCGAAATGCTGGTTCTAGAGAGGAAGGAGGGCGAAGGGGGGAGGACGACGGGGCTGGAGCAAACGTAATTGCGTTGCCAAGAAGTTTTCCCCGGGTGAGAGGTAACCAAGAAAATAATGAATGGCTCGGATGCTCCGCTCCTCCATTCTCTCGTGAAACGCGGGGGAGAGGAGGGATAAGTGGGGGAGCAGTAGGGAAGAAGAGAGAGCGGCGGTGGCGGTAGAAGCGGAGGACGAAACGAGAAACCGAGTTTCGGCCGCGGCGGTTCTCTCCCTGCTGTCCCGGATTTCACACGGGGGAGAGATGAAAACCTCGCCTTGGAATGAATTTTTCTCAGTCCGTGCCAAATTGGACCGACGGAGATTGCCGTCGCGCGAGAACGGAGTCTCTTCTCGCGCGAATGACTTTCTTTTTAAAGTCCTAAGGTGCTGTTGCGCCTCGCTGCCAACCGCGTCGCGCTCTTCGCGATTGTACCTCCGTCGAGGGTAGGAAAGGAAGCGCGAGATTTCAGCGGCGAGACTCCAGACTCGACCGTGACACAGACGTCACAGGAAGCCGTGGGCGCCTTCTGATACCTTCTCTCCTTCCGCCCGCGCTTCTTTTCGCATTTACGTTCTCCGCGCGGCACTGCGGCGAGAGGAGGAGTCGTGACGTGGCGAAACGGAAGACGCAGATGCCCCGGTTCGTAATATCGCGAGAACCGCAAGAAGCTCTCGCAAAGTGCCATACCCCGCCCGCCTTCTCTTTTGCTTATGTACACGTACACCACATCGTTGTTCGCCTACACACACGCGTGCAACGTGCATGCATACGAGCCGCGACTACGTACCGCGCGCATCTCGCAGGAATCAGGCGCTGCTCGGGGGACGCTCTCTCCCATACATATAAATAAACACTATACCGTACGTCTAAAAGCAGGCGGCAACACATTCGCCGCATGAAAATGCAAAGCGACCGAGCGCCGCCGATAAAATTCCTCGCCTGTAAAACGGTGACGTGCACCGAATTCTCCACCGCCACCGCCGCCGCCGCCACCACCACCACCACTACCACCGCTACTACCACCAACCCTCAAGGCCCTCGATACCGCCGATATAATCCGATACTCGAGACCACCCTGAGAGAAAGACACGCTTTGCGAATCCGACCTCTTATCTATCTCCCGTGGAGCGCGCGCGCGTGAACTCGCCTTTTTATCCTGCTATGCCTTATTGTTCGCGCCGAGCACAAAAGTGTTTAATCGAGGAGTCAGCATCCGATATGACGATGGAAGGAGGGGAAGGGGGAAGATGGAGAGAGAGAGAGAGAGAGAGAGAGAGAGAGAGAGAAGAGCCGAGAGTTCATGGCAACAAAGCCACGCTCGCCGCCAACCTCCGCCGACCAACCGGAAGCCGTTACTTGCGCTAACGAGTAAACCAACGGCTGCTCGTCGGACTTTGGTGGTATTATGCTGCGCGAGCAAATAAACTGGCGTGTTCGGCTAACTCCCTGGTTTCTGGTAAGCCCCTGCACACCGGCGCGACGGCTCTCGCTCGCTCGCTCGCTCGCCCGTTCGCTCTCTCGCTGTAAACCCCGGCTAACGTCCGCGTGATTGCAATATCCCGCGGCTT